AACAATAAATTGTACTATTGTACGACTCTGTACGTTAGCGTGCTTCTACCCAAAACAAGAAAACTAATCAAAGGAGGAAACTAGCAAAATTACTCACATATCGGTCCCGCTTGTGCCAAAGGTTAAGAACCAAAAACGGCAAGTCGAACAGATAGAATGGACAAGGCGAAATACAATTATACACTGGCTAAAGGGACGCTAAACGAGGCTTTTATACGCGCGTGGGGACGCTAAAATATCTGATTACAAGCCAATCGAGAATAGACAACAACGTAACCACATCCGTAACGAAAGTAATTGGTAACAAACAAATCAAATTCCACTTAGACTGAATGAATCGTTTGAGTATCCTTAACAATTTCTGTTTCAAATATTTCATAGTTAAATTTTAACTTTGGTTTTCATTCATGCTGCCTTGAAATTTGCTTTCTGCATTTCAGGAAATTTGGTCCTAAGACCTTTTCCTCTGGGCCAATGAAGAGCACTAGTATTGTATATCAGGTGATAAAGACTAACAATTATTACCACACTACACAAAGCCAAATGACAAACTGCCCACTCTAAAACATTCCTTTTTGCGGGTCAAATGGCAAAGTTGCTGCCCTGATATATATTTTATTAAATGAATTTTGCAGATTTGGCCTCGTGTATTGATAATAGCGATAATCACATGACTTTTGGAGGGCAAATAGTTTATTTGTGTCCCTCGTAGCATCATTTGCACCCTCCCTCTACTCGGGCGCAAATGATGCTACTCAAGCCACAAATAAACTATATGGCCTCCAAAAGTCATTTGATTGTCCTGTTCTAGCTCACAAACAAGCCACTAGTCAAGGCAATTTGCAATGTCTGGACAGTACAATATAGTATTGAGATTTTGCTCACAGCTTCATTGTCTGACGCATTGTAGGTTACTGATAAACTATTTGATGACATAAACTGGTGCATTGTTCACTCCCTAAAGGCTGTTCAGGTAATGTTAGTTGATCTAGCTGTACCAATAACAAGAGCCCATTTCCTATCCACGTGGCAGGGATATGAAGGACATAATTCAGATGTTATTTATTGTTATTAATAGATACTAAATGGTTCATGTCAATAATTTCTTATGATGTTTTAGTGAACCCTTTGACTTCTAAGAATGACTAGCATCCAATTTCTCTGTACAATATCACCCGTGACTCACACAATAAAATCACAGGAATAAAGGAAAAGATCACCAACTAAAGCTCTCAAATGTTAAACAAATTATCCTAATCCTGACTGTTAGGCAATGTGTAGGGAACGGTATGGAGAATATGTATGCTAATGTTGGTGTGTAAAGGGTTAAAAGTATAGAGCCAATTAACATTTTTATTACCGATGACTGGCAAGAAATTCTCTTTTCTATCTGGTATGGGTTTTCCTTTTAAAGTAGAGAAGAAATTTAGTTATACTATCAAGATAATGCCGTTTAAGTTTGTCTATTTTCCTTGTCAGCTCAGTGATGCTTTTTTGTTGCAAGAAGAATTTTCAAAAATAAATACAATAGCAGCTTTGGTGGGGTACAACTCTAGTGTTTTGTGAGATAAAATCAATTCATCTAAAAGTTTTGGTAATTGTTATTACACATGATAGTCACAACAGTTAGGTGCACCTTTCATTTCCATGTACAAGAAATTTTGTTGCATTCTTCATAGCCGTAAGCCTCTGTGTAGATTTACCATATACAAATGCTTAAGGTTTCTCGATGAATACATCATTAATTTTCAGAATGTTATAGCCAATGATAGGCACTGCTTTGAATGTTATGGGTAAGTATGTACATGAAACAAGATGTCATTTTGCAGGTTCATCTACTGTTAACAAAAGTATACTCATAAGTTTCCTAACAAATAAGATTAATAAAAATCGTACATCAACATTTCGGGATTTCTATTTTAATAGGATAGCAAATTTGAGCAACAATATACCTAATGATGTTAGGCAGGCTGAGTCTATTGACTCTTTTAAGCGTAAACTTAAGTCATTTTATTTCAAGATACTTTTCAACGTTTTTGGTGGCGAAAACTTTCGTACCTTTAAAATAATTTGTCCTAAATGTCGCTGGGTAACTACCCTTGTTGCATGCACTTGTGAAGCGGTCTGCTACTAAATATTAATTTTACTCTGTGAGTTAATATTTTAGGAGAGGGTTGGGTTGGAGCTTAAACCTAGTAGGGGATTTATGTCCTATTGTTTTTTCTCTGGTACTGCTTGTACAAATCCTTAAATAAATAAGTAAATAATAAATAAATGCATTTTCATCATTAAACAACCCAAATTTATCAGATTACCGGTAACTGCTCAGTACTTAAGATAATATCGTTGATTTCAGTTATGACATTATCATTGATGATAATCTGAAACCTTGGCTTATAGAGGTAAGTCTAGAAGGAATGTTTGTTTCACTACTCGGGGATATTTTCATCTTTGTTGTTCTATTTGCCAAAAAGACTGATGCCAGTATTAATGAAAACTATAACAAAATTCTCAAATGTGACTGCTTGTCACCACTCTTGATCTGAGCACACCTATGCAGTATGATTGTAAATGTAATTGGATAGTGTAATGAGACCGTTTAAGCAGATCATGCCTGTGTGATTGTGTAGTATGCATGAAGTGCATGGGCTGTTTTTGTGCATTTTGCCAAGTTAACTTTTTTTTTGTTCCCTATACATAAAAATGTGTAACTGATGGCTAGTTTGTTTCTCAAATTTGTGACAGTTATGATTAACAGGTAAAAGGACACTGTGTCATCAAATTCTATTTGCAATCATACTCATGATTAACAAACCAGACTCCCACTTTATAGTCCTGTAATTTTATTTATCGTGCATATGACTACAGACTAAAATGGACACCACCCAATCCAATTACCATTATTTATTACATCGCTTGCAGCGCCTGTGGGCAAGATGAGGTGAATCCTGTGTTCTGATTAGCTACCCGAGCAGGCAAGATTGGGTCCATCTTGCCTGCTTGGGTTTGCACGCATTGATCCTGTGCATGAAAAAAATACAATTAGAACTATGTTCATAATTCTTGGACAATTTTGGCAATGGAAACGCAAAAAGCACCAGAACAAAGAAATCAGAAACGACTCTCATGAGTTTGTTGTGCTACAAACACAGTTGGTTTTCTTTCCCAGCTCTGGAAGTAAACAGGTCATTCTTAATTCTTAATAAAGCAAAATCTTTTTTTGCAATATAATAAATTCTTTATTAACCAAGCTTGTTCAGTCAAAATGGCTGGATATTGGCCCAGTTCTTTTTTTGCATTTTTATGGTCTGAGACAGTCGAGGTCCAGCCATCTGGACCTCGACTGTCTCAGTCGAGGTCCAGATGTGAAGTGAAGAAGTGTCCCCATCCACTTCTCGCTCTCTGTTGTCCATGAGCTATTGCTTGCGAATTGTTACCCACGATCCACTACTTGTTACCTGTTATTTATGAACCATGACTCGTGACCTGTTACCCATGACCCACTATTTGCTTCCTGCTACGTATCATCAATTACCTGTAACGCTCATCTATTATGCAGATTTTATACATGTAATAGTCACCAATTTTCCAGTAATTTTTTTCTATTTGCAGGTGAATGCCTCTCCTTCATTAACGTCCACCACATCTGCTGACAGAATTATGAAGTACAATCTAATACATGACACTCTCAGTATTGTGCTACCTAATGGGGAAATTCCAGAGTGAGTAAAGCAACTGATGTTCCTCTTGGTATAGTTGCATTTTTTGTTAAAGACGAATATCAGAATTGTGTTGACAGCTGGCTGGTGTAGAGCCCAGACAACATAGGTAGTTACAACTTGATAATGGTTGAAAGTGGAATGAAACAGGTGCATTAAATGTGCTGCCTCAGTTGTCTCCATATGGTGCTTTTGATTCACATCACGGGTTTCCTTAAAAGCCAGTAAGTGGGCTACTGTTAGGTACTGCCAAAGAACATTATCTCTTGTAATCTGTGACCTATCACTTCCGACCCCGTTACCCGTGACCCACTACTTTTAACCTGTTACTCATTACTTGCTATCTATGACATATTGCTAGTGACCTGTTACCCACAATCCACTTCTCGCTCTCTGTTGTCCATGAGCTATTGCTTGCGAATTGTTACCCACGATCCACTACTTGTTACCTGTTATTTATGAACCATGACTCGTGACCTGTTACCCATGACCCACTATTTGCTTCCTGCTACGTATCATCAATTACCTGTAAGTTGTTATGTTTGATTCATAACTCGTTACCCAGAGTTGCTTAACTGTTAACAATCGCCTTTGTCACATGTGCGCCATCTTGACATGGAAACGAGGCCAAGTATGCCGCTACGCAACGTAATATGGCAGAAGGCAACAAAAAGGTACAAAAGTTGCAAAGACTTTTGGCACAAGAGCTTTAAATTGACCCTTCATTTTTTATTTCAATGTAAAATAAAAGTCTCTCAGTGAAAAAAAGTGTGAACAGAGGCTATAAGTTCTACATTGAGTCGTATATTCGTGGAATTAAAGGTAAGTGCATAACTATGTGTTCCGTTAAACCGTGTAAACCAACTACGTAAACTGCTGTATCGATCATAACAGTTGCAAAATGTTTTGTTTTCTGCGCCTGATAAATCGTTTCAAGATAGTTTTCAGTTGGTTCAATAATCTCTGTTTGCATTCGGCGGTTTGGTTGTCTGCTTGCTTGACCTTGCTTGACGTCAAGATGGCGGCGCGTGATTAAGGCGAATGTGAACTGTTAAGTGTAACCCATCACTCATTACCTCTTACTTATTACCCATTACTTACCTGTTATCTGTCCCATTACTTGTGACTTGTAAACCCTTGACCCACTAAATGTCAGATGCTATCTATGCCAATTACTTGTGATCTGGTACCCATGACCCACTACTCATTACCTGTTACCTTTAACCCATAACATGTTATCTGTTACCCAGGACCCTTTGCCAATTATCTGTTACCTATTACCCATAACTTGTTATCTGTTACCATGACCCACTGTTAATTACCTGTTACCTATAACCCGTAACTTGTTATCTATTACCCATGACCCACTGCTCATTACCTGTTACCTATGACCCATGACTTGTTATCTGTTACCCATGACCCACTGCTCATTACCTGTTACCTATGACCCATAACTTGTTATCTGTTACCTATGACCCACTGCTCACTACCTGTTACCTCTGACCCATGACTTGTTATCTGTTACCCATGACCCACTGCTCATTACCTGTTACCTACGACCCATTACCTGTGTACTGTTGTATGTGACCCACAACTTGTTACCTGTTACCTCTGACCCACCACTTAAGGCTTGTAGCTTATGACCCACCAGGTGTAACGGTATCTGGTCAATTCGCCACCACTACAAACTTGCCACTTCAAAACTCGCCACCACTTGCCACCGATGGCGAATTGACTTTTTGGTAACGTGCAGCCTCTCGTGTGAAACTTACATTATGTAATCATGACATGTTGATAGCACGAGTGATTTTTCCTAAGTGATTTCCGCCGATATGAATGATATTGTATGGAACTTACATCATAAAAATGCCAAGAAGTCGAAGTATATTGCGAAATTAAAAGCGTATACAAATACAAGGAAGTTTACTCAAACTTACTAATTATTTAGTTTTAATGATGCGAAATTCTTAGTGCGTGCGAACTCGACAAAATCCGGCAGAAAGCGACTTGGCGTCCTTTAGGAGTCCCCAGAGAGCAAACGGATCAATCTTAGAATTAATTAGAATAATGAGTAGTTTGTCAGCGACGTTTCCTCCGACGGCCGCATTCGTTAAATTTTTCGATCAATATTGTTATTATTTATTATTAAATAATATTTAAAGAGGGAGCCCAGCTCGCCATAGCGGTTTTCAGTGAGACCCTCAAAATTAACAATGTATAAAATAAGTAATCACGTAATAAGTAAAAACTCACGGTGGAAATATGAAATATCTAAAATATGACATGAACAGAAAATAATATAATCAATGTGCAAGAATGACACACTAACGGAACCTATTAAGATTCAAAATATTTAAGCAATGAAATTTTAAAAGCATCATAGGGTAGACATCTCATGTCTTCTGGGAGGGAATTCCAGTCTGTCAATGCACTATTAAAGGATCTGAGTAGACCCCAGTTCGTGTTTAATCTAACAGATCTAATAATTTCCTTAGAGCGAGTGTTATGGCTATGATAGTCTGTGCCTCGAGTAATCATACTGTTTCTTTCACAGTCATTTATAAGTTTATGCATAAAAAGACACCGTTGCAATGATCCTCTGGATGGTAGATTGATCTAGTTCTTATCTAGAAGTGCTTGAGTTGAAGAGGAAAATGTCGTTCGATCCAGTACTAGCTTAGCTGCTTTATTCTGAAGAACTTGAATAGAATCCATTAAAACTTTGTTATTTTTATCACCCCATACGATACTTGCATATTCGAGAATAGGAATGACCATAGTTGACACATAGATCCTCCTTGCATAAACTGGGAGAAGATGCTTGATTCGTTTTACCACACGTAGTATCTTTGCTATTTTAYTTTGTAGTTCAATATGGTCATGCCAAGTAAGAAGCTGGTTTATGATCACTCCGAGATACTTAAATTGGGTAACGTTCTCTAGTTGATCATTTTTGGGTGCAAGGGCTATGTCATTAAATTGACTTCATTTGTTACGTCCTCCAATGACCATAAACTTCGACTTAGTAACATTTAGTGTCAGCTTATTGTTATGTAACCAAGATGTAATAGCTGCCAAGTCTGCATTGAGCTTTGATTGCAAATCAAAGCTCAATATCGTTTTCAGAACGAAGTATTATCGTTAAAGAAAACAGAATAAATAAACTTCAAGATCTAACCTTTCGTATGATATAAGTTGCATTAGATTTGATTGCAAATTGTGTTCATAAGAACAAAACTCGTGTTAAAGCTCACGTCGACACTCTTTGTGCTTGAAACAAAGGGTTTACCAAACAAAGAGAGGACGCCAAAGTCTGTTTGAGTAAACTTCGCTGTATTTGTACGCGCTTTTAATTTCACAATATACTTCGACTTTTTAGCACTTATATGATGTAAGTTTCATACGATTTCATTCCTGTTGGCGGAAATCACTTAGTGAAAATCACTCGGCGAATAACGCTCTGGTTTCGCTGTTCGCAAACTGATCATAATCTTCGTGATATCAACGTTTTATTTCGTTTAACGTKCCATTATTGAGACGCAACACCTAATTTCTGAGTACCTTTCCCTTTTCACAACGTACCACTACATCATAGCTTTCATTTGATGTAAGTGTCACACAATAGGCTACACGTTACCAAAAAGTTAATTCGCCACCGGTGGCGAGTTCACCGTAAAGTGGTGTTGCTTGCAGGGCTGCAAATAACGGCCGATCAACAGACAATGTCCGGTCAAAATTGGGTACTGACCGGACAAATCCTTGGATTGCCGGACATCTTGTCCGGTCCTTTACCGACTCGTTCAAAGAAATTTTAATTTTTAACTGTTTGGTAATCACAAGGGACAACAGTCATGTTTCCCAAAGAAAACAAAAAAACCAATATAAAAGTAGACAAATTAGTGGTCGAGAAATTCCCGGCAGTCGCAAATTTCCACGATGTCATCAAGTTCTGTCGCCAAAGTGTAATATCTAATTATAAGTGATTTTGCCAGATGTAAAGTAAAACGGACAATTGCAGTTGTATCTTGCGTAACCGTTCCACGTACTCAATGCGAGGCTGCTTCTGCAGTAAAGAGTAGTAAAATTATTAACTTGTAATTTTTATAGCCAGACCGACTCGGATTCAGTTGTTTTTTAGTTGTAAAAGGAATACTGTGCAATCTGGCTTCACTATCGCAAGAGTTCCGACTGTTAAAATTTGACTGGCCAAAAAACGGGTAGTGTCCGAGCAAAAGTATGTTTGACCGAACAACGTGACCGGCGACAGCCCGTTAGTTATTTGCAGCCTTGGCTTGTTACCGGTACCTGTGACCCTTTCCTCTTGACCCCTTACTAGTGACACAATTTGTGACTTGTGACCTACTACTTGGGACCTCTGACTCGTCAACCAAGCACTTATGATCGGTAACTTTTTGTCCTGTTTCGTCGAACCCTGTACCTATGACCTGTTGCCTATGACCTGTTGCGTGCGACCAGTTACCTATGACCTTATGCTTGTTATCTGTTATTTATGACCCATTAGTTGTGACCTAAAACGTGTGATTCTCTTGTCATTACCTTTGACTTCCAAGTCATCACCTGTATGTTCCCTAAAGGCCCACCAATGGTAAGCAGTTAGTTGCGACCCCCTTTTCATTTCCTCTAACTTCTGACCCACTGCTTATGATTGTTGACCTTTGACCTATTAGTTATGACCTTCTGGTGGCCCAGTACCTATGTACCACTACTTATGACATGTTCCCATCACTTGTTGCTACGAAAGCGCTCATACTTAGATCTTGATTTGCTAAATTGTAATTTTTAAAATAGAATTTTGGTCAAATACTTTTTTGAAAGCAATACTTGCAATATCTATTATCTAGGTTTCGGGCTGCCGTCCGATATTGGCCTCTGTAAGTGTCTTTGTAAGTCCTCTTACTTATCCTCTCTTTCTCTACCAGTGTTAGATGGAATAAGATACCGTCCAAAGATGCTCTGGGAAATTTCGAAGTACTGTAAGTAAAGAGTTAGCTGCAGTAGTTTTACCAAATTAGACAATTTTTCCTACTTTCTGTTCTTGTACCCTTTTTATATCAGTAGTTGTTTCACAACTATAACTAACGGCCTGTTCAGCAATTTGATAATTTGCCCTTCTAGTACGTATACATTTCGTTGAATTTGTTCTTGTTGTGCAGCTGAATTTTTTTCTCTAATAGCGCACGCCCTCATTGACTACGTTGGGGTTATTTGCAATTTATGTATAGACTTTCGATTGGTATTCGAATCGAATCTCTTAAGAAACTGTTTTCCCGTGGGGCCAGACGTTAATTGTTTTTTTATATTATGGTCACATTCAAACTGATAAGTTTGTGTATTTTCCTCACTTGGTTATATGACGTGATGATGACTCTAATTTTTAGAGATTAAGTAGAAAGTAAAACACTTTTCAGTTGATGTGTTTTCTTTGCACATAGTGTAATTCAACTTTGTGAACTTTGATACTTATTGGTTATACAGATATGACGAAGAGTTAGCCAGTCAAGACTCCTTGGAAAGAGACTCGCGATCCAGAACAGGACAAACAGCAGCTTCTCGAGTTACTAAAGAAGGCAAAATCAAGCAAGCTACGTGGAAATAGACTGCAGTCACTTAATGCTGATTAGAGCCGTCTACTCTCGAAGGATCAGAACTCAACTCAGCTTGATAATCCCCGCTCCCCTATGTCTTTTTTTTTCGGTACCATGCACGCAGTAAAATACTTCAACGAATAGATGTGCGAGCTGAAAGTAGGGCTGTTTAAAGGTGTTATGAAGTATAAAGATACGTTCATTGCAATTGGCAGCGATGTCGCAGTACAAAGATGAATGTAGCCACATTGTTAATGCTGTTATCGAAAATGCTTTAATAGTTTTTGGCGACTTGAAAAGCAAAAGACCGATAGACGGTCCACACAGTCTATTGCTGATACTTAAATGATTGGTGTATATTTCAGTTGAGTAGCGTGGTGCCAAACTATTGATGCATTTAGGTACCATTCAAGAAAAGTTTGTATTTCAAGTTACGCCATCGTAGTAATTGTCTACTTTCCAGTACATTTTGATACAAAGTCCTCTACTAGCTGGAGGTAGTGCAAAGTCTTGGTTAGAGTGTTACCCCGTGTAAAAGGTGACTAAACACAAGGTCATAAATTAACGACATCAGCGCCTTCTGTCTAGCTAGTGTTTCATTCTGCTTAAGAGCCACTGACCGTAAATATCGAGAATCCGCCGACAGTTGAAAAGTTCATAATTGGTTTTTTTTTAAAGGACCCTTTTAATGAACCTTTTTCGAAAATTATATCAAAAAGTTCTATCGCGCTTTTTTTTTCTCCGAAAAATCTACAAGTTCAAAATACGCCCAAATGGTCGCTGTCCCCCCCTTAAAGAAATGAAAAATTGTGCAACTTTGGAAACTTCGTACGCTACAACGCGATGCAATCCCACTTTTAAATTTTCTGTGCTAGCAGATGGTCCTTTCATCTTTTGGAAAATATTAATTTCTTGTTATGTTGTTACGGTTAAGTCTAAATAGTGACCAGTTAAAAACATAGGCATGCTACGCATGCAGGAGTTATTTCTTTGGATATGGTGGGTTGAAATGGGACATTTAATGACTGATGCTGGTGGCAAAAATAAACTGCATTGGTACCTCGCTTCTTGCAGTCCCCTCTACAGCCCTAATTTGAACTCGTCACGCAACGCTTTCTCTCAAACGTTGCGTGATGAGACCAAATAACGACCTGCTCGTAGGCTATAATGATACTTACTGCCGCCTCTTTGTCAGAGACAAATGGGAACTTAAGCAGTCACGACGGCAACGCCGTGGAAGACGTCGATTAAAATATGGGTTTCTACTTTAGTTGGAATTTCGCAAATGGCTGCATGTGTTTACCGTCTCATAGGGCGCTAGACCTCAAGCTCAACATAACGCATAAAAGTAACGTTCAGTCCCAAATGTATATTAAGATAATTTGCCGCCGCGGTTTCGGTTCGCAGACGACGCAAATTTTGGGGATTTCACGTTGTTGTTTTGCAACGGCTTAGAAATGTACAAAGGTCTAGAACGCACGTGCAGGGCTATTGTTCTGCCAATTAGTTCTATTGTTTTTCCATGTTCTCGTTGCCGTCGCCGTCGTGGTTTGCTTAAATTCCCTATTTCCCTAAAGTCGTAATTATTATTCTGGCTGTAAAGGGCCAGAATCAGTAATTCCGTTTGGTTTTTCCTGTGCAGGAAAATGCATAATAGGCATTACGTATCACTTTTAATTGGCGTAATGCAATGTGGTGGACATAGCCTAGAACGAGGATGAGGTTTGGCATCGAGTGTCAGTCGGGCTTTAAATGCTGGGCTGATAAGCAAGTTTGTTACGGGTTATACTTATCATTCGAGTGGACTTAAATATATTTATTTAAAGCACAAACCTAATAATGAGAATAACTTCTATTGTTAACGTATTGATGAAAACAACAACAGTAAAAGTCCATTGTCTGATTGTTTAAATTCGATCAATACAATTTTCCTAGGTAAACATCGGTGACTGAGTCCATCAGTAGATTAAACAACTACAATTTACTGACCATAAAAACCTTGTGGAAGTCACTGGCACATACCTTTAATTTAATTCAGTCAAAAAACTTGCGGCCTTTAAAATGCCTTCTGTGTTATATCGTTCCGAGGCAAAAACAACTTCAGAGGTTTGTTATTAGATGTAAGCAGGAGAAATCCTTGTAAACAAAGTCATCGCATTCAAATGCAAATTTTTAGTGAGTGACCCCGCATTTCCTCTAGCGATTCTGGTATTTCCAAATTTTCATGGATGGCATCAACTTGTTCCAAAGCCTTAATCTCCATAACTCTCTTTGTTAACAGACCATGAAAGCACTCGACGGTGATTTTGCTAAAACAGCAATGCCTTGAAGTGCAACCAATTCAATTAAATCCGCTGAACCGCAAATCTGGACAGAATATAAGCTCCGTGTAGCCTCTTGTTCAGTAACAGATAGTTGCCTCAAAATATTCTTCCATAAAATTTTGCAGTGAAAGGCTCTATTTTATCTCCAACAGCCGCTAGACAAACACGTTTTCCGGTGTCCGTTCTTCGGTTGAGTCTTGGTTAACGAAGATATGCCCTGGTGTGCCGGTTAGCCAAAATATGTCTTGGCATGCTGGTTATCGAAAATTACGTGACATCAGCCGATCGCGGAATGATAGTGTGAGAGCTGGATACTTTGATGTATAATAAATGCTTGAAGGGTTAATTGGGCGTGTAGGGTCATTTGTGTCATTTGGGCCAGTTGCGTCATCTGGGCCAATTGGGTCATTTGGGTCGATTGAGTCATTTGGGCCGGTTGGGTCATTTGGGCCAGTTGGGTCATTTGGGCC